CTTTGGGTTCAATTGTACTGCATTAGCTGATGAAGTATTCATTTTAATTTAATTTTAACTGATTTCATTGTCACAACATTAGATTAGTCTTTCAATGGTTTACTGAATTGGATGACAAAATACATATACACACACAACTGAAGGGTAATTTTAATGCTCTTTTAAATTTATAGCGTTGCTTTATCATTAACATTTTTGTATAGCGAAGTTCTGAATACATACGTATTCTAATATTTATTTCGGTGCATCAGCTACCTACTTTTCAAAAAATTACCATTTAATTTTATTAGAAATTGGTGCAACCTTAACCTATTAATAATCTTACAATTGATATTGTTTATGAACTGTTAACTTACACTTTTTATTAATAAATCATCCTTGTATAAAATCATCTTCACACTGGTTTTTGATTTGTGAATAGGTATTTTTTAATTTATTATGAGGGGAAAATATATACACACACACAGATATATATATATATATATATATATATATGATCATTTGTATCATAAGGACATGTATCAGTTATCATTGTTTGCTCATTCGTTAGTTTGGAGGGAGGGAGGAAGGGGAAACAGCCACCGTGTGAACGGGGGTTAAGGAAAAGAATTCCGACCCCATTCATACTGGCTGTTTTCGTCCTCGCTCTCGGTGATAGGACCCCACGAGCACCCTATCCACCTCCGAGCGTGGTAATGAGGACTCATCCTGCCACGGGGATGGGAAGGTGGACCAGTGGGGTGGAACCTCGAGAACGCCGCCAACTGATTTTGAATTTCACACGTGTGGGTCTGTCAATGGAGGACAGGAATATGGTCCCAGAGCATTGGGTTTCTGTAAGCTTCGATGATTGGATGTTACGCATCCATTGAATGAATGATTAATATAACGAATGAAATAACTGACGAACGAAAGTATGTATTAATGGATGGATGCGATAGTTATTCGTTCGTTGGTTGTTTTGGCCATGTGTGACGCTGCTGGGCACAATGTGAAATGAGTATAGAACTTAGTGCGTGTGAAAAGGGATGGCGATAGCAGGACCATCATTAAATGGGGTTTCTTAATCAATGTCATGTCATGTAATCTTTTTAATGAATGGATGCAGGAATAAATAAATAAATAAATAAATAAAATTCCAAACCAATCTTTTGAGAGTGATTTTTTAATTTAATTTTTCATATATATTTATATTTAATAATTTATTTATCAAAAATAAATATTAAAACTTTGCAATTATATGTTTAAACTTTGAAGAGTGAATAAATAAAGGCTTTGGTTACGGATTTTGATTTCTTAACAATAGTCACGAATTTATATGTCTTCTTTATGTATACAACAAAAAAAAAAAATGAAAAGTATAAACTTTTTAGATTTCTCTTATCTTTTATTTTAAATATTTACTTTAAAATATACTTTTTCTAATAAGCAGAAATGAATGGTTTTGACCCAAGCAACAAGAGAAAGGAGCACAACATCAGAATTTGCCATTGTGGAACTATACTGAATATTCACATCTTGGATCGGAAAGAGAGAGAATAACAAAAGTATAAATAAAAATAAATAAAAATAAAACTTCATGTGATGGTCATAAATACGTTTATGTGCATAACTTTGAATTCTACAGTTACAATGTGTTTTCTGATAAATTTCTCTTCAAATAATTCATCCACAACAACAATTTCAGCATAGGAGCCCTAAGTGAATGGAGATTACTAATATAACTATATTCCTTGTGAATCCAAGGGCGTCCTTTTATGAAAAGATTGTTGATTTTTTTGACATGGGGGGGGCGAGGGGCAAGATTTATTTGAATAACTGTTCTTCGTTCTAACATAATAAATCAATCTAGGTTATTTGATATTTATGCAGAATATAACCCCTCCGCTGAAATCAAGACTGAGGTAACTAAGCATATTGAAATGGGAACAAATACTTTCATCAGTGGAGAAAATTTCTCTATATTTATTTGTGTATTTCATTCTTAGAAATTACTGTAAATATCATACACTTTTTGCAACTTGGACTTTTGTTTCAATGCTAAAGTTTGTATTATTCCGTTATAATCCATTTTTTTAGCTTTTTTGTCTAATAATCTGTTGGTTTTAACACAAATATTATACAGCATAGTCTCAATATTTTGTCAATCATATTCTTTTACATTTGAATATTGGGAACAGCTAGATGGACTCCCCCACATGCCATTCACCTCTACATATGCTATATAACTCTTGTTTATACAAAAAAATGTTTTAAGGTAAATTGGCATGAAAGATTCTCTAAATGGAAATAATAACCCTTTTGAAGTGAATGAAAGAATTACATAAAATTTATTACTGTATGTTTTAGACTTTCCAGAAAAAACAAACATGGTTGATATTACCATGTTGTCTACTATTGTTTGTATTTCATCAAGATTTTAGTTTTTAATTTTCTAATTTTTCATTAGTAAAGGATTCACTGATTTTCAATTAAAATTCTCCTTATTATCACAAATGCTATGATAAATTCATAATTGCTTTAAATATAAATCTATCAATAGATTTTACATGCTTTTAAAGCATTTTTTATTTTTAAGGCTTCAATATAATGCACAAATATGTAGCGTACATTTTCATAAATTCATCATTTCATACATGTATACATATAGAGGTTTTTTTTCTCTCATCTCTTCTGATTATTATTTTTTATTCCTATCTTTTATTTTAATTTTTATCCAAGATGCCCAATTACAAGGGGAAAAAAAAAAAAAAAAAAAAAAAAAACACACTTGAATAATAAAAAGCAACATGCAAAATTACAGATTCCCAAGCAAAAAAAACTGAAAAATTAACCAAGTTACAACACGATGGCATAAAATACCTCTCGTTATATACATGCACATCTCTCAAACATGTGGATGTATTTTATTTCGTGGTATATTTTTATTCATTTTATAACAAGGAAAAGACATGAATGAAGAGATTGATTGGTGGTATTCAAGTTGTCCAACAAGGAAGAGCAACCTTTATGGACTGGTAAGGGTAACAAGGAAGGGTCGGGATGGGAAAAATAAAAGGCTTTTTAATGAATTGAATGCTACCAGAAGTGTCTTGTGGGGTATGGGGAAAAGTAAGACACAAGGAAGTTGACCACCACCAATAACTTGGTGGGTGGAATGAAGGAATAAATGAATGAAATATAGTGATAGAGGCAGCCTCATTCACACATTCACACAAACATAGAAAATGAACATATCCACATATAGAAATAAAAGCATACATGGACAAAAACAAGGAGAATTCAATCTAAAAGATAATGACTATAGCACAGTCTCATTATATTCAACAAAAAAAAAAGTAAAAGAAACCAAGAAAGAAATGGAGTTTCTACCCCAACTCACTCACACAAGGGGGAGAAAGGCCCTATTTGTTGTTGTTGACTTTGACTTTTGACTTTTGACCTTTTTTTTTTGGATCCTTGGGAGTTGCTCCCCTGCATGTGGGATTTATATTCACAATTTCCCATTCTGCTAATTCTGCCACAAGGCAACAAAACAACAACTAATTTACTGCATCCTCCTATTCAGGGACTACTACTTTTGACCTCAAACACATACAAAGACCCCACCCCCCCTTCCCCATTAGCATTCTAAATTTAGGGTTGTAGGTAGGACTCACTTAATTGTGGTGGGGGAGGATAATGGTATCCTGTCTTCCCCACAGATAGACTCTCTTCCTCCCTCCCTCCTAACACACAACTTGAATTAGGGCACGGAATTGGGGGGGGGAGGAGGTTGGGTGGGTTTGCCCAACTGAGATTTATGAAGTTGGGGGAGAGGAGGGCAAAACCCTAATTGCACCCTCCATGTCAGCACCCACACACACATATTGTTTTGCCATATGGACCCCCCCCCACTCTGTCACAGTAAAGATATGCCTATTGGTGGGAAGGTGCAGGAGGGAGGGCGAGTTTGCTTTGTGAGAGGAACATATTTTTATTATCATCCACTGTGATCATCGTCACTACCTGTTCTATTCTATTCCACTCAATGGTGGTGGTGGTCATGCTTATTTTAGGGTTCACCTTGGTCCAACTAGCCAAAAACACACACTCGCACACACAGTCAGTCAGTCAGTCAGATGTAGTTATATCCATTGTGCAAAGATAGAGGGTGGAGAAGAGCAGCTTTCTGAGGGCACCTTGGTGGAAGAGTGAGCTAGATTGGTCTATTCTGGAGGGCAGACTAGATAGATAACAAGCACCCTCCCTACTTGGCAGTGATGGAAATAAAAGTTCAAACATTGCATGCTGATTTGTAAAGGGGGAGGGAGGGTTGGCATTGTAGTGCTATCTATTATTATCCAGTCTAGTGCTAGGGCAAAGCATTGGGTGCTCTGTTGGCATTCACTGCTCTCACAAACATATATATATATATATATATTCCTACAGAGGTGAGGTTCCTCGAATAGAGGATTCCGATTACTGCTCTCAAATTTTCGTCCCCCAAAATCCTACGTGGCAAATTCGCATGCACCTGGTGTGAATCAATGACATACACACGAATGACTGATCGACTTCCTTCCTCTCTTCCATGTCGAAATCCTACCAGTGCAAAACCACCTTTGGCTTTTATAACTTGGTCAAGCGCCCTCCCCCCGGTTACACCAGTTCCAGTGGGAAGCAGAAGGATGCAATGAAAAAGTCTTCGGCCAGACAGACTGCACTAAGTTAAGTTAGTTTTCCACAGCAGTGCCAAGCGTGCATGGTCCACTCTGATGGCCTTCCTTCCCCATTCTGGGAGCTCATTCAACTCCATTGAGCACCACACTTGGTGTGTGTGAAGAAGAAACGGTTTCCCCTCTTCTTCCATGCCAGCAAAACAAAAAACAAAATAAAAATAGAGCATCCAAACCCAAAAAGCAAAAGTTTAGGGGGGATGGAAGGAGGGAGAGCGGACCCCACGTCCAGGCCAGCAGTGGCAACAACATCACTTCGCAAGCGCTCCTCAGCGACAGCAGCAGCAACAGTCGCAGGGCTAGTTAGCTAGCTAGCAGGGGCAGCTTGCGCCAGCATGGAACAACAACGAGACGCAGACAGAGCCTCCATGTTCAACAGCCTGGGACTCGGCAGCAGCAGCAGCAGGAACAACAACACAATTCTTTCTTTCTTTTTCCCTCCCCGGCTGGCTATGGCGACTCTCCCCCCACCCCCACCCAGCCCTCCTCGCTGATGATGCTTTCTCGCCTCTCGCGCAACTAGTGCTGCCCACTCCTTCCTCGCTCCTCCCTCTTTTTCCTTTGCCGTGAGTCGGTCACGCCCCGTCACGCGCAGCCTAGTAGAATAGGCTTCTGCTACATCAAGTCCCTCTGTTTGTGTCTGTCTGCGTTGATTTTCGGGGTTGCTTGCGCGTCTTGTTGCGAATTTTCGGGTCTGTTGGTGTTCTTGTAAGGGTAGACTTGTTGAGGGCGATTTGGAGATTTGTAGTGAGGATTTGAGGTTGCAAGAGGAGGTTCTGGTGCGGAGGGATTAAAAGAGTGGCCACGTGCGAGGTGGTGAAAGTGCGGCGACTTTTGGAATCGGCCTTTGAGTGGTTTCGGAGGAGTCCGACCGAGTCCGGTGGCATTTGCTGCGCTCTTTTTGATACTCTTGGGTTAGATAGGGTATGTAAGACGTTTCGGAAGGATCCTGTGGAGAAGGCAGGAGCAGCGTTGCATTTGAGGGATGACATTGGTGGCGACAGGTATACCAAGGGAATGCGTGGGAGAAGAGAGAGGAAGCGTGCAGGCTGTAGTTGGAGATGAGATATGGAGGGGAGATGGAGGGCTGTGGAGATCGTAGTGAGGGGCGAGTGATTAGAAAAAGGCACCCGAAGTAAGAGTTGATGTTGCTAGCTTTTATATGCTGCATGGTTCCAGAAGTTTTAGCTCCGGACTGTTGAAAGTGTAAGGTTTCTCTTCCTCTCTGAACCAGATGCTTATATTCATTTTGGACCACATTCTTCACCTACTCCCCCCCCCTGTCGTTATTTCTGATATGTGCAGATGATCAGTGAAGGCCGATTTGACGTGGCACTTATTCGTACCTTGGTTTTGTTCCACCATTTGGAGGCAGTGTGTATCTTGAATGATTTATGGTGGATTAGCATGTACTGTATTGATTCACTGGATCGTCCTGCTCATTCAGATGGTGTGGAATAGAGGACGTCCTTGCTACATTGCTAACGAGTTGTAATGTCGCGGATATCGTAGCATGTCTTTGGCGCTTTCGCAATTAGAATGCAGCTTTTCATGTTAATGGTTTTTGAGACTTTGCCGTTTTAAAATCTCTGCTGGTCTAGGCTGCAGAAACGGAATGGAACGAAGTGGTTGGTTGTGCAATCTCTTTCCTGAGTTGTGGTCACCCGTTAAATCCTCATGGTTTTGACTGCGTTCATATAAAAATGTTCACCTGTTTCTGTTGATGACGTTTTTCACCCTTAGTGTTTTCCAACGATGCCATGGCATCTGCCAGTTGAGGTCCTTGGAGTAGGCTATCCAATTTCTAGTTGCACATTTGATACTATCTAACAATGGTGCTGAACAGCGGGACGGAACCCTGCATGCCTCGCTTGTTCTCCTGTTCAGTTTGGGCGGGTGAAGGCTATCGATTTTGATCATTAGTGTTCACGTATATCTTCGTTCTACTCCAGCAATACAGTAGATCATGGGTTAACTATTTTTGAATTTCTTAGCTCTAGGCCTGGAGTGAGCGTGCTCTTGGAATGGCCATATCTGCTTACGAAGAGCACTCACTTTAGTGATTTAAATGCTGTAGGTCGGAGAAAGTCCTCCGTTTCTAATTACATGTTTCAACTCTCTACATGAATTTCTGCATCTTCTCGATATCACTGTAGATTACCGTGTATTTGTAACCTGTCTAACTTGTCCGAATGAATTGTAGTCGTGAGGTCGAAAACGAGTACGGAATACAGTTTTCTTCGTCTCAACTTTGCATGTGAAATTGCTTGGATCAGGTGTTTAGTGTAATACGCAGAGAGTAAGATCACGAGGGTTTATAGACGCATCAATTTTAGGCCTTGAGCTTGCCACTTACTGTGATTGCTGATATCACTTCTAGTAGCTTCGGGCGTGTTATCGTACGCAATGTTCTGGCTTACGATTTACATCTCCATTTTGTGTTCGTATTACACTCGTTTATGACTGCAGTAGTCATACTTTTTTTTGCTTAAGTTTCCCCGTAGTGGACTTTGATTACAGCTTAAGTGTGATTGTACTCTAAGAAGCAGGCGCAATTTTTATAAAGTGCAAATACACCTTTAAACTCACACGTACACCAGTCTGAATTCTCCAAAGCACTCTTAACCTTGTCTGAGCGATTTTTGTATTTCTTGCCCGTGATCTTGTAATACATTTGTTCTATGAAGAAACCTAACATGGACCTGTCATCTGTTGTGTTACAGTGAACGGCTTCTATATTATCGACAGGGACCGTCGCGGTTATATGCAGCTAGCGGATGGTACTCAAAAGGCAGAAGAACCTAACATAAAGTAACAAAGAGATTTTGAAGCTGAGAAGAAACGAGGGACTTACCTCTGGGACTAGCCAGCCTCGTATGGCCACTGCAACTGCCTCCGCAGCCAGTGGCACGAATATGATAGGAGGTGGAGGGGCTGTCCCAACAAAAGCAGGTTCTAGCGGCGTGGAGTCGTTACCTAAAGAGATGCACGGGATGAAGCTAAGAGATGACAAGGTTGACCACAGCGATGATAAGGTCAGTATTCACTTGTGATTTGAGTGAATGCAGTCACCGATGACCAAAGATAAATGGTCGACGCCTTCTCTAGACATGATATTATGCATTGATTGATTTTTTATTCATCTTTTAGTGGCAGGCAGTGGAGCTGAATAACATAATATTTTGGTCCTGGCATGCAGGAGTTCGAGGCAACAGTAGTGGATGGAAATGGCACTGAGACGGGCCACATCATAGCCACCACCATTGGAGGGCGCAATGGGCAGCCGAAGCAGGTAGGATAATTAGACTCTGAGACAAAGGTATGCAATGCGAGAGCAGCTTGGCATGTTAGAACTGTGTCTAATCCTTACATTGAAGGAGTTAGGCCGATCATCGAAGACGCAGCAGAGCGTCATTCGTTACGATATAACGTGTAGATCCTCTACGTCTCTTGAAGTGCTCCGGACTTAAACGTTGCCATTTCAAATCAGACTTTTCATTCTTGCACCATATCCATAGTTGCTTGAAAACTCCATCCAGCTCTAGATACATTACAAGGATTTGAATATTAACCCATACATTTATTTGTGTGCGAGGCTGCAGTCTGGAGGGCTTTGACAGCATCATTCTTCTGCGGAATTGACTGCACGATACCCGTTCTTATCATAATTTTTTATTGTTTCAATTGGATGGATTGTGCAGACTATCAGTTATTCAGCAGAACGTGTTGTCGGCACAGGATCATTTGGGATCGTGTTCCAGGTAATTTGCTAAGCCCTAACTCCTCGAGTATGAACCTTTGGTAGTTTGTAGTTCGGTGATGCTGCGCACGGTGGTGTTGTTACCAGATGCACAGTAGTACAATGTCGAAAAGCGTTTCCGTATGTTCCAGGTCGAGTAATTCGATATTGAACCCTGAAACTGTAGTTTTTAACTTCACTGGAGCCAGACATGGGGCTGATCTGTCCATGTGACGTTCAAGGTGGTAGAACTAGGGGATGTTCTGATCGCGAGGGTAATTTTGTTGTCAGGCAAAATGCATAGAGAGCGGAGAAACTGTGGCTATTAAGAAGGTGCTTCAGGACAAGAGATACAAGAACCGAGAACTTCAGATCATGCGGCTGCTGGAGCACCCGAACATTGTAGCTCTGAAGCACTGCTTCTTCTCGACGACAGAGAAGGATGAGCTTTATTTGAACTTGGTCTTAGAGTACGTCCCCGAGACGGTGTATCGTGTAGCAAAACACTACAATCGCATGAACCAACGAATGCCATTGTTATATGTGAAACTGTACACTTATCAGATATGCCGGTCGCTGGCATACATTCATAGTGGCATTGGTGTGTGTCACCGTGACATCAAGCCCCAGAACCTGCTGGTAAGTGAATGCTGGTGTATATGTGATGGACTTAAGCACATGGATGGTGAGCATAGTTTAGCACCGACAACTATTATGTCACCGGAGTTTGTGAATAAGGGCCAGATGTACGAGCGTCAAGGAGTTGTGAGTGTATGGAAGTATGATGATGACGAGGCCGGTTTGTGCACTGCAGGTGAATCCTCATACGCATCAGCTGAAGCTTTGCGATTTTGGTAGCGCGAAAGTTCTGGTGAGATATGTGATATAAACGAGCGTGGTTGCAGTTTTCCCCTGTGTATTAGATGGGTCAATAAAATTTGAAAATGCAAGGTTTTGAAAAAAAAGAGATCTTTTTCTTTGTGTCTGGGTTTCTAGAATAGTTAGTAGTGGGTAACACATGGCATGAATAATGTCTTCTCCGCTATCGAGTTGAATATTTGAGTGGAGAAAGTGGCGACACTGAGAATTCGAGTACTGTGCAGGTGAAAGGGGAACCTAACATCTCGTATATCTGTTCACGGTATTACCGTGCTCCTGAGCTGATATTTGGAGCGACGGAATACACCACTGCGATAGACATATGGTCGATGGGTTGTGTGATGGCGGAGCTTCTTCTAGGGCAGGTACGCCCATAGTTTAGGGGAGGTAGCTGGTACAATCAGTTAACTTGCTCCTGCTTACTAGCATTGTTTAAAATGAAGGTGGATCACTGTGTCGATGGAAGTGAGACCATGAATTGTATTTTAGATGAGTTTGTGTGAGCTGGAAGCGAGTTGTGAACTTTATAGTGTTGGTTTGGTGAGATTTTATAGATTCTGACTGGATAGTCTGGATGTTGGTGCAGCCTTTGTTCCCTGGAGAAAGTGGAGTCGATCAATTGGTGGAAATCATCAAGGTAGCTTACATATGGTAGATGTTGAGGAAGTGCAGGGGTCTACAGCAGATGTCGGTGCTGGTGTTTGGGTTTTGTCCGTTTGAAATGTTGTGTTGCGTTGAAAGGTTGTAGCTGGTACTTGCTCGGTGTGATGTTAGTTATGACTTCGCTAGAATGGATATGTAGGACTTATGGGTAGTTGGGTGTTAATGTTAGGTGTTGGGGACACCCACACGCGAGGAGATAAAGTGCATGAATCCGAACTACACGGAGTTCAAGTTTCCTCAAATTAAGGCTCATCCTTGGCACAAGGTACGGCTGGTCTGTGTGTTAGTGGTCTGGTATGGTGCTTTGGAGATGTACTGTAACAGTTGATTGGAAAGCGTTACCTGTATTCATAATAACGGTGATTTTGGATGTATTCTTTTGCATGCCAGTAGATCGAGGCTCCTTTGTATCGTGATTGCAAGAATGGGGTTCTTTGGGATTTGCCTAACCAACGTGGTACGGGGTTGGTGTCGTGATGGCAGGTTTTCCACAAGCGCATGCCTCCAGAAGCAGTAGATCTGGTTTCAAGGCTACTTCAGTACTCTCCGAATCTGCGGTGCAATGCTGTGAGTGATGACGGGGTTTTTCTGTTGTGAAGTGTTGATCGCGCAGACCATCGTTGGTTACGATGAATCTTTCTCTCTATTGGTGGGAACAGGATGTTGATTTGGTTGTGAAGACGTGAGAATTGGCGCGCTGTGATGGTTTTGGTTGTAGATCTAGGAATGAATTATTAACATGTTAATGCGTCAGCTGATTGGTTGTTGCGAACGGTGTGCAGTTGGAAGCTTGCGTGCATCCATTCTTTGATGAACTTCGAGATCCCAACTGCCGTTTGCCGAGTGGGCGGCCTCTGCCCCCGCTGTTTAATTTTAAGCGTCAAGGTGTGATATTATGTTGTGTTTTTCGATTGTCTTGGGCTCTCAAATTTTAGCATTGAACTCTGCCAGGTAGTGTTTTCCAGGTTTGGTTTTGGTGTGCGTGTTTGGGGAGTTTAGAGTTGCAGGTAGGTCGTTGGTGATTGCAACGATTGCCGAAGTGTAATGTACTTGTGAACGCCCTTTTCATGCAGAATTGAAAGGTGCCTCTCCTGAGATTCTGCAGCGGTTGTTACCTGAGCACGCAAGGAAGCAAAATCCGATGCTTGCATTGTAAGCGTGATGTGGAGAGAAAAGGAAGCCCGTTTTCAGGGACTTCCGTGCTTGGAAGTCTGGACAGCTATGTGCAAAGCTTCAATCGAAACTGTTTCCTTTCTAGTTTGATATCATTTGGTGCCCAGTCTGATTCAATTCCCTGCTCTTCCTATGTTATTCAAGGAAGACGGAGTGAATTTTTAGCATGTCGGGTTCATCAGCAGTGGTGGTCCTCTGACTGAGGAATATCCATGATACCTAAGGGTGTGAAGGGGTTTGCTTAGCTTGTCGATGTGGGTTAGTGTGTGGGAGGATACAGTGTGAGGATGTATGTCTACGGCAGGTGCGCATTTAGGTGCATGTTGATGAGTCAGTGTGGTAAGATGCGCGGCATTTGGATGGGCAGGGAGCGGAGATATTAGGTGTAGCGAGGCTCAGTTGGGCTGTTACATATAGGGACCCAGCGAGTGCTGGACGTTTGTAGCGAGTGTAACGGGATGTTGATGTTGGGGGAACAATCAGAATGTAATTTTCCGTAGGAAATGAAAGTTCGAAAGTGGTATTGTGTTTTTTCTGTGTTTTTTGCAACAGTTCTTTCCCTCATTATAGTAAATTTTTTGTGTACTTTCATTTTTTTCTCCTTTCTATTTGTGTACCAAATATGACAGTGACTTGTCACAGATATCATGATTTTATTGTATTACCAATTATTTGCATCTATCAGGCACGGCTTGTTTGCACTGGTTTTCTACGATAACTCCGCAGCTCCATGTTGAGTTCGCACTCTCATTTTAATTCAATTTTACAGTTGGCTTATTCATGTTTCCCTTAGCAAATTCTCGGATATTACTTACAGGATTGTGTAAAATTAATTTTCTTCGGATGGTGGTAGAGGCAGATGTCATGACTGCAACTTCGATTAAATGAAAATGTCTGATTTTGTTAAGTCATGCCATTTCCCTGCTCAGATAATCATCTATGCAATCTATAGAAGTTCCCTCATTGACAGTTGAGAGAAAAAAGGTAACACATTCACACTTCCTTTTCGCATCGATACCTGCGGGAATATGGGAGACAGAAATCATGAACTGGAGCGAGCATCTAGGTGGTAGTGACAGTGAAAAAGATTATGGATCTTGATTTACGTGATCACAATCACCATTGAAATTCACATCACAGAGTGTTGATAGAGGTTCGCTAATAATCGACAAATCAATTCGCACTTAAGTAAAAGCTTCAGTGAGTATCTCAGAAGTAGTGACAATTGAAGTAGAGACATAGAGCAATTTCGCGCTCTCCTCATTCGTTCAATGGTTAACATCACTGATACTAAAGGTAAAGCAGAAACTAAATGAAAAAAATGTGCCTCAGTGGTAGTGACAATGGAAATCGACAACATGTGACAGTCAAAGACTGGGCATTGGCATGATTTATGAAAATCGTCATTGGCACACGGCACTGGCAATATTGTAATTACAACCGTCCCCACAAGAATACCTAGAATGTATCAGAGCGAACACTTACAGTAGAACAAGAATCCTTCCTCAATCCGCAGTTATCCGAAACATCCTCGACTACAAAACCCTATCCCGCAAAAACAAAACCTACAGATCATTCAGACCTCCATAAATTCTACCACAACAAGTAGATTCACATCAAACGGCAAAAATCATCAACTTACAACAAATGCACCCACTCTACCGTCTCCAAACCCAATGTTGGACGTGTCCAGCAACCCGATACGACAGCGAACTAGACGAACTACAAGACCAAGACCCACAAATCAAAAATCCTCACAACAATCTCCAAGACTCCGAAATCCACAGTCCAGCAATCATCCCTTGTTGCAGGGCCGAATGGGGCCACACCTTCACGCGTGTTATCACGATTCTCCCACGTCTTAAATACGCTTACAATGTGACTCTCGTCAGACGTGGTCAGTGTACAAATTGTTGCCAAGTGCACGATTTCGATTGTTGCCAGAATACAGTGTGAATTTGTGGACGTGGTGGATTCGTGTGGCGGCGGGCCGCAGCGGCTCCGTGTAGGGTTTCAGTATCGTCGACGAAAGGAGTGCAGGATTTTTTTTCTCGTCGGACGTTGCTGATCGCCGTCGTTCGATCCCAGACGTCAGTTGATAGGACGGAGGGGTCTGGCATGTTTCCGTCGACGGAGATTCAAACTTCGTTTATTATTCGTCCTGAAGTGGGTTGGGTCGGCGTTTGTGTTGGATCTAGGTTTCCTGGGTGGAAAGTAAAATGTGGCTTCAAATAGTGTGTCAAAAAGAATGAGATTAATTTGTTAAAACTAGAATGGAAGTTTTTATTATTATTACATTTTTAATTTATATAAATATTTTTTTAAAGTTATAAATTATAATAAGTGATGCTTTTACATTACAGTTAATGATCTTAAAAAACGAGATTCAAACAGGTGATCATAGAAGTTGTGTAAATTTATAACAAGGAAATTTTGACAAAAATACTTGAATGCAATCCTTAATAAGTTTTTTTAAATAAGATTTTCGTAGATTACCTTAAAAAATGTTATTTTGATGAATATGAAAATAAACAAGAATTGTCACAAGCTAAAACATTGAAAATGAAAAAAAGTGAATAAAGATTGTGCAAATATTTTCATTCGTATTTTTCTTGCAAATTTTGAAGAAAATAGTTAAACCTCCAAAAATACAATATTTTAAATTATTTTTATCTGATAATTAAAAAAAATATACATCAAGAAGAATACAAAAGTTTCTAAAAAAACATTTATAAGGACTTCAATAATTAATTTATTTTATAAATGTTATATATTAATCAAATAAAAGAGGATTTTAAAATTTTAAAGTCAATTTTAGTACTCAATATTGAAATTAGACATCATAAATAAACTTAGTTTAAAATATGTTTCCCTAAATGCATTCAATTGGTAAAGATATAAAGCAATCATTCTATTTTGCAATCCAAATACATGTGTGTGTGTATATAGTGACAAACAAAACCGAGTACAAAATCTGAACACTCATAGTTCATTGATCCTTCCAACTGACATATAAGTCAATTGATAGAATTACTTTATTATTGTGTGTATTCATCCAGTCCTCTACATGGATGAAAAATCTCATTAGCATTTGAGGTAGGGTTTATGAGAAAAGTGTTGTAGAAGCACACAGACGTGCGTACTCAGTTTTGGTTGCTTCTTCTTGCTGAATTTCGAAATTTCAATGTACACTCCTTGTTGCAAGATTTGAGGGCATTTTTTGTTTGTTGTGTTGCTCTTGTTGTGTACTATCTATAGTGAAAGTTGATTTGTCAATTGTATCTCTATGCCTCGATTGTGTGAATCATTGAAGCACCAAGCATTGGTGCATCTTAGGAGTGGTGTTTCTACAAGAAAAGTTGCAGACTCACTTGGAATGAGTCAGTCTTGAGTAGCTCATCTGAGGAGGGAGATTAGTGGTGAAATAGAAAAGCAAAGAGGAGGACGTTCAAAGGTTTTAGGAGAGCAAGAGAAGCGACTTGGTGTGCACCTTGTCACTGCTGGTTGTCTCAAAACGGCAAGAGCAGCTGCAAAACAACTTCGAGAAAAAACAGGTAAATACTTCTCAGACATCACCTTGAGGCGTGGTTTGAGAGAAGCTGGTTTGGGTGCTTGTGTGCAACAAAAGAAGCCTCTACTTGCCAAAAGACATGTTCTTGCAAGGTTGAGTTTTGCTCATAAATACAAAAATTGGACCGTTGATGATTGGAGACGGGTTATTTTCAGTGATGAGACAAAGATTAACCTAATCAACTCAGATGATAGGTCTTGGTATTGGTTGAGAGAAGGAGAACGACCTGGACCTAAATATGTTAGTCAAACTGTCAAACATGGTGGTGGTTCAATTATGATTTGGGGTTGTATGACTGCTTTTGGGCTAGGTGCTTGGTATCAAATTGAAGGTAGAATGGAGCAACACTTGTACAAAAAAATTTTAGAAACCTATTTGCAAAGTACCACACAGAATTACAACTTAGATCCTACTAAGGTGGTTTTTCAACATGATAATGATCCCAAACATACGGCAAAAAGTGTTCAGTTTTGGCTCTCTTCACAGCCATTTCAGCTCCTTCGATGGCCAGCTCAATCTCCACATTTGAATCCAATGGAACATTTTTGGGCCCTTCTCAAACAGCATTTAAGCCAAGTCACTCCAAGGCTAAGAGGTGTTCAAGAATTGTGGGAGAATGTTTGTAGTATTTACCCTAGTTTTGATGCAAAAGATTGTGAGAAACTATACAAAAGTATGCCAAGAAGGATTTCAACTGTTTTGGAAGCAAAAGGTTATTGGACTAAATATTGAAGTTTGAAGATTTTCTTTGAGTAATACTGAGTACAAGACATAGTTGTTGATTTGACTTTGTAGAAGGATGTTTAGTTATCAATTTGATGTGCAACTTTGTACATGTGTACAAGACTGTGTGTATTATTCCATGTAACTTTCAGATTTATAAAGCAATCATTGAAATTTCTGTAATTGCTCTTGAAAGTTGGCACTTCAGATTTTGTACTCGGTTTTGTTTGTCACTGTATATATATATATATATATATATATATAAATCTAAACATAAATACATAAGTAAACATACAAGTAGTCTTATGATTTTTAATTTCATTAAAATAATTCAATATAAATCTATAAAAATCATTAAAATTCAATGGAAGATTGGTTTTGATTGAAAATCAATATTTATTGAATTAATTTTTTAATAAAAGAATTCCTAAAATTGGTGATACTAAAAAATCTAATGATACAATCCTTTTAAAATCCATCCACTTGTTTAATAATTCAAAGTCCATGTGCACCAAGTCGTGAGGTCTTAAAATATCACCTTGTCATGAATCATCCTATTAAGCATGTAAGATAAAAAATACTATATATATATATATATATATATATAAGCGTTATTAGCAGCAATTTCAAATTATAATAATTGCTGTACATCGCATATTTACATACGTCTATTTAAAAAAATAAAAAATAAAAAATTACTCAAACAATGCTCTTTTCAGTGGAATCTATAGTTTAATATTTTTTTTTAACGGCGGTTAAGGTTTGTAATAAAAGCACCAAATAAACAAACAAATAAATTTTACAATATATTGGTACAAATTTTACACAACCGTAAACAAACTGTTTTGGCAGCAATCTAACTACCAATTTCACGGGGCATTTTCATTAGGTTCACCAATTAGGTGCACGATACATACAAAGTGAATACCAAAACAGGGCATATTTTGACTAAGTTGCTTGCTTCAACAGTCCAAAATCTTAACTTTGATGGTTTTGTGCGACCAAATATGAATACTTCCACTTAACAACATCATCATCACTACATTAAGACAACATCCTGCAAAAATTGCTACAAATCGTTGTGTAAAACAATACAGAAACACAAGCATCTTCGGCCTTTATTTGTGTATCACTGAAATACTAGCAACAATAATATTAATAATATTAATAATAAAATGGAAAGAAAGAAAGAGAATGATGAGGAGACCCCCCTCAAAGCTCCCTTTTGCAACTGTGGCCCCAAACTCCTTCGACCTCAATTTTGTGGCCTGGATTGTGCCTTTCTTTGGCACTGCTTTGGTGCCGTTTCAGAACCACCTTCAGCTCAGCTCATTGTTCACTGTCCAGTGGAGAGTTACCCTAACTCTCTCTCACTACTGAGGGCTTTTCACTTCATCAGCTTGGCTCTTTGCTAAAACCACATGGCCATGTTTGCACATTGCCCCGCTTGCGTTTAGAGCACCTGTAAGTTGCCCTCTTTGCTGTCTGTCGTCCTTGAAAGTGTGGTATGCTGGATGCAAGCTTGATTCTGCTCTGTGGGTACTCCGTAGTTGGGGAGAAAACCGATTTGTGTTTCTCACAAGAGTGACGCTCTGTGATTGCAGGTCGGGTTTCTTGTCTCTGTCAATGCTCGTTTGCATGATAACTTGGGTCTTTCTGTGACTGACTGTATGTTACTACTGCTATCGTTGTCGATGCTACCGTTTCGAGTTGTCAGAAAATGCGTGTCAGTGCTTCGGTATGTGTTTTGCTGTGTGTCTGTTACCGATGTGGTTGTTTGGCTGTTGAAATCCTTGTGTTGAACTGTGACCGCAACAGAACCTGGGATTTTCCTTGGAATGGTCGGGTTGGTGTCACCGTGAGGTTTCTAATAACCATTGTTTTTTCTCCTTGGAAGAGCACACTTTGCAACATATTTGTAGTTGGGTTAGGATTCATTTGAGCTCAGGGAGGTGTAGGAGTAGATAGGATATTTTATTTTCCATAATCCACGAATGGCATGCTCAGATACGGGTGTTTCTTCACATTTTAACTTCACTTGAAATTATTCTAGCTTTGGGTTCATATGTTTTCCTCAGCCGATTTTTCACTGACTATTACATCTCTCAGTGCATTGTTTGAGTTCGCGATTCCCTCTTCAGAGCCACGGATACTCGTCAAAAGTGGGGCACATTCTGTGCATCTACTTTTGGCATGTGCATGGTCTCATTCCATTCGGCATTTTCTATTTCATTCACCAAGTAGTTTTATTTTTGTATTGCGTGAATCCATCCGGTGTGGCTCCCTATCACAAATGTCTTAGAAGTAGTAATTAATACACATGCACATAAAGCTCTACTGAATACCTGCTTAAGAGTTGGATAAAATTGTTAAAACGTATGTTTGGATTTTTCTTCGACGGTTACATGGAAGCTCGGATTATTATCATGAAATCCCAGAAAGTAGGCTTTCTATCTAGAAAGTTTCTGATCTTCACTCACCCGATTTTCTTTGGTTTTGTCAGCACAGTAATCCTTTCGTGATCTCTCTGTGCAGAGAGAGGTTGGAATTGAACTCTTGGTAAAGTTGGTGATAATTTCAGAGAATCCTGCTGGGGCGTGGAATCAGCTCGTGTATTAGTTTTGGTTCATATTGCTCAAGCATATTCTGAATTGTTTTTCATAGTACCTGCTCAGGCACCATGGATGATGATTGGGGTGCATGCCTCTATCGTTCCTACTTAATGCTATCATGAGGCTTTGCATTACAACCCTGAGTTTTTAAGTGAATTTGATGTTCATCCGTGGCGGAGGTCAGATCTTGTGTGTATATCGTTTGTAAACTCAGAATCCGAAGGTTTTGTTGTCTCGCTCCCGGTGATGGGCAGTGATGAAACCAAGAGAAATAGCCAATGGGATGATGAAGACAAAGAGGAGGAACCTCAAGAGGAGAAGAAGAAGCATGTACCTGTCCGTTCCATCTTCATTTTACAAATCATTTGAATTATAATCTGTCACAGGTGGTCATCTAAAAGCAATGGAGAGAAGGATCGGTCTCTAATTTTTTTTTTTACTGATAGGAAACATTCCTCACTTATATATAAAGAAAAACCGGTCACCTTTTTTTTTTTTTTTTTGGCGTGTTTCTTTCGTTCCTGATTTTAGGAAGGTCCATGGACTTTCTTCGACCTCCTCTGTCACGTCTAGCACATCAATCACCCAACCTAAAATCCATGCAGTATAGAATTCTAAAGCCCCATTAAGCGAGTGTATTCATTGTGTCTAATTGTTATTAGCGTATTTCATTCTTTATCATGTATCTTCATGTCAAGACTGGATGGTCTGACGGTGGATCTCTATCACCACAGGAGGTTGGATCTAAACCCAAGGAACATGAGAAAAGTAATAAAACGGCTGATGATGATGGGGTTGTTTCTGATCCATTGGTGGAGAAGCTGCGTCAACAGAGGTAGCACTTACATCTTTGCTTGTTGAGTTGGTACCTGTTGACATTTAACATTTGTTTGGTTTTGAAATGGCCTCTCTGAGATTATGGTCCAACAAATGGAAGAGGAAAAAAGTTCAGATTGATGTTCATTGGTTACAACCTTTACAAGTATTTTCATGTGTGCGGCTTATTGAGCTGATGCGGCATTCGGCATTTAACAGGTCGGTTGAGGAGGCTGATTACCAGAACACATCGGAGCTTTTTGGAATCAAGTCTAGGGGAGGTGTTAGTTTAAACGATTTTATCCCGAAATCCGAGGACGATATTCTAGAATATGCTGAAATGATTTCTCGAAAGATAAGACCATTTGAGGTACAGAAGCTGTCTTCTCTCTTAGAATCTACGTTTGAAGTTCAATATATGTGCAATTTATCTACAGCTACATTTTCCACTCATATTTTTAGGAATTCTGTTTTTCTAGGTTCCGATGAATACGAAGTTCATGATAGCCTGTTTGTGATTATCTACATTTACTCACGTAATTGGCCAGATCATAATATTCGTTTTTCGCTGAATATCATATGAGCCTCGTGTAATGTGTGCAGAGAAGTTTCCATTACATGACACTTCTGAGGGCGTTGTTGCGGCATTCAGTTGCAAGCATGAAAGGCTCGGACGCCAAGGAGGTTGCATCCAGCATGACTGCAATTGTTAATGAGAAGTTGAAAGCCGAGAGGAAAGCTGCCGCTGGGAAGAAGAAGACAAGTACTTGCATACCCATTTCCTCTGTTAAATTGTTGAAAATTGTTTTAAAACTGTATTTCTTGAGTGAAAACTGATTCACGTGGACGTGCTTTTGTCACCTTTTGTGGTTTACTCTTTATGTGCAAGAACATTGTCCTTACCTTGTTGTTCAAACATTTGTAGTGTTCTTCTTGGTGATTACAGAATCCTTAAGATTTTTTTTTTAATCTTTCTTAGTTTCTCCTAGAAGTAAGGAACATTAGTTGGATTAGTTCATAAGATCAAAGGTGTAAATAATAATGTAGAAAAAGAATAGATAAAGGAAAGGTGAAAGGGACCAACTAATAATCCTTGTTTTTAGAAAGAAATAACTTGTGGCCTTGGACCTCTATAGTCCTCCTTCCCTTGCATTTGTTTATATTGTGCCTTATTCCAGTACTATCATCAATGTCACAAAGGACTTGCTCTTGTGAGACTGTATTTTGTTTTTCTATAAGATTTAGCACCACATTCTCTTTTTGGACTAGCCTAGCCAAATGGGATTGGGTTTCACCAATACTCTCTTTGTTCTTCTAAATACAGAGTTTCAACATTAGTCAAACAACCTTCACTTCTTGCAGCAATGTCCAAGCAATGTATCAATATGGGTCTACTAATAGCACCTCTTAAGAGTGTGACTCCTCCAATGGAACCATTAAAGTTTGCTGCTCTAATTTGTTACTTGTATAGCCCTTCTCTTACATTGCACCACCCCTTCTATGGATTGGTCTATGGATTGGTCTAGGTGTCTCCACTAATCTTTATTGGCATACTCAATTATTTAAAGCTCTTCATTTGGAAATGTTTTACTAACTCTTTCATTCGTTGCATCTTTGTTGTTTTATATTATCTTCAAAGATGACCAAATTTTCCATACAACTTGATAGATTGTGAAGCTGCTAAAATCCTTCAAGACAAACAAAAAAGTATTCTAAACATTTGTCAAATAGAAAATTCACCTAGATGCAAAGGACATTGTTCTTGTTAAAGAGGATTTAGAATATTGCTCTTGATTTATGGATGCATATTAGGAAAACTATGAAACTCTTGAGTTGGTTGATAAATCACTCAAGGATGAATATTTATTAGATGACAACAATTATTCTTGAACTCATTTTTGTTTTTGGATTTTCTTTCTTTGGCATTTGTTTTGCTTTTTTCAACTTGTATATCCAATAATCCCTTTGAATACCTTAATTCAAGAAAATTCATTTCAAAACTAGAAACATGCCTTCAAAACAAAAGCCTCTTTAAATCCTCTTTGAAGACTTACAAAAATCAATATTATTGTAAAAAATATCCTATGATATACTATATTAAAAACAAACGTTAGTAAGAAAAAAGAGAATGGATAAAAAGTCAATTAGATGACAACATAACAATGTGACAAGGTTTTGTGATTGCATCCAAAATAACTAAAAGCAATATTCATGTAGCTTACAAATTTAACAAGTTATCATCTACACAAACAATGCATAAATTTAATCTTAAAAGCTACACGTTTGAATCTAAACTTTTCATTACTTCTATAAATTAATATCTGAACTCAATTACTATTCAATGTATTATACATACATACATACATAAGTGTGTGCATATATTTTCTATTTTTTTTCGTTTTGATATAAAAAACTCTACAATCTAATCAAAATATCGAAGTTCAGAACCTAATGTCACAACTGAGAGCAACTCAAAACCATTTCTACATACACGCATCCAGTGGTTCAATCACTTTCACCAAACCCTTCTTCCCTCAAAACCAAAAAATAAGATTTGGATCCCAGTCATCCAACCCCACCACTAAATTGCACACTTTAGGGCTACCCACCATATCGACAAAAAATAAAACACCAAAACTCGCATCTTTGTACCAAACGCAAAGCATCCGCGGCAGCAACCGAGGCACTAAATAAAAATAAAATGAAATAAAATAAACAGTACAAAAGCGAAGCACCTGAGCCAATGCCAACGCTAGTTCGAGCCACCCAATCTGTGCAACACGGCAAAGCAAAACCTGAGGCAAATGCGGATGATCAGTGTGAAGAACCCACCGGGCTCTCTCTGCAACACGAGGACGCCGTGGAGACGATGCAAATGTGGATGGACCCAGTGGCCGAAAGCGCCGTGAAGAGAAGTGTGAAGTGATCGAGACAAAAAGGTTTGCGTTGCCGGCACTCTCTGCGAAGAGAGAAAGAGAGGGTCCGTCATGTTGTTTCCATGAACCCCCTTCCCTCCCCCATCTCGCCGTGCAATGCCCTTTCTCTGATTCGCAACCACCACACCCGTTTCTTGTCTCACGGAGGCAGCGTTGGTAGGCCATGTGACGTTACCGTCTATGTGCCGTAGGGCGTTTCAAGCTCGAGCTGAGAGTTTGAAACGCTTCTTGTAGCCGAAGAAACCCGGGATCGTATGCTGTTGGGAGTGATGAGGGTGGTGGGTTTATGAGTAGCTGTTTCGGGGGTGCATTGGTTGTATGGTTGGGTTGTGCATCGGAGCTTAGATTGGGTGGGTTTTGTTGAATTTTGCCTAAACTTAACTTATGTAAAGAATTGTGGAGGTGGGGAGTAGTGTTTCAAGTAGAAGGAGATGGGAAGGATTTGTGTTGTGTGCGCCAAGAGAGCAGGGTTGTCATATGAATCGAAAAGGAAGAGGCGGAGGTTTTAGGAAGAGGGGAGAATGCCCTCTTCTGTGACTGCAAACAGCGAAAGTTCGCCAGTGGTAGCTCCACAAGAAATGGATGTGTCATATGGGAGTCGTTCGGTGCGGCGCGCTAGCGATCCCGGGTATACGCGGGTGGCCGTTCACGATCGTGAGGAAATTGAGGAAGTCGACACGGTCATAAATGTCGATGATCTTCTCAGGAGTAGACAATTTACTTCGGACGGAGCACCGGAGGTATGTGGAATCAGTGTCATGTTGTATGGGCTTGAGTTTTTGATTGGGCGGTACTTAAGTTACTCGGTCTGCGATTCGGTATTCTATCGACAAGCGATTGATCACCGAATTAGATCTGGATTGAGTGTGGTTGAGCTTAGATTTTGATGGTCCACTGGCATTGTTGAATGGCCAACTAGTTTGCAATCCAAGTGCTAGTAGACGAATAGTTGATGCAAGCCTAGCTGTGAGATGCTGGAGATTGTTCATAACACATTTGAAAATGGCTATTTTTTTTTTTTTTTTTTTTTTTTTTTTTTTTTCACTTTTAAAAAATACTTTGTATATAATCAATGCCTGATTTTACAAGCAACATTGGGCCAGCTTTAGCTTATAGCTTACGAACTTTACGTATCTTCACCCAAACATCCTAGGGCATTTTGTTCCAACATCAACTAGGTTCTGTGCGCATTGATAGAGACCTGTATTTCATGGTTTTGTTGATCCTGGCATGATCGAGCAGAGATCTCTTGCTGGAGAGGAGTATGGAAATAGGACTTGTTCGGAACGACAGGATTCTGTGAGGTCGTTGACTGAAGAAGTGCAACACATTGCTTCTGAAACGTCGTTAATCACACGACTCTCATTGACTCTTCTGAGATTTCTTGGGTAAGTCTTTGTGTAATATCTAAACTCGTTTTGAAATGCTGCAGCAGCTACTGTGCTTTTGTTGTTTTTACGGTGTCCCCCCTCACAAGACTTTTGGGGTTTTTGTTCTCTGTACCAACTCATTTGTGCTATGCACTTAATCCTTATAGCTTTTCTTGCCAGTTTTTGTGAGGACAAAGCATACGGCGAGTGTGTGCTTCGTTTCAGTATCAAATTATCCTGTGCTAATCCTGTTTGACAGAGTTGGGACCCGATGGATTGCTAAGTTCATACGACTAGGTGTTTATGCTCTGTGTTTGATGCCTGGCTTCATTCAGGGTATATCTTCTGCGCACTGCTTCTTAGATTGATCTTCACTTTTGGTATGTGATTTACGTATTGCGTCCAAGTTTGGCTTTAATAGCCGTATGCGGCGGAACCTCTCCCACGTACTATGTAATGTGAGTTTTGGTATCTAATAAAATATTTTCCATCACCATGCAGTCATGTACTATTACTTTTTTTCCAAGAATATTCAACGCAGCCTGGTGTATGGGGACCATCCTCGCAACAGGTGAAATGGGCCGGAATCTTTAAAGGCGGTACATATATGAATGCTGGTGAAAAATATTAAGTTTGGAAATGGTTTCGGTCAACTGTTCTCGTTCATGTTATGGCCAAGCAATTTGACTCTTCAATGTGTGTATGTGCATGAAAACGGGGGCAGATTTGACTTATTTCTGCCAACAGGAGGGCACAAACCGAGACCTGCGGTGATCTTTGTCACGGGTGGTGCTTGGGTGATAGGGTATGTTCGACTCCTTGATATTTTGAAATCTTCCTCTCGGATTTTTTCCTTGTTCTGCTAGGAGCAGACTAAGCGGACTTCGACGTGAGTCCTGTAGGTACAAGGCGTGGGGTGCTTTATTAGCAAGGCAGCTGGCTGAACGGAATATTATTGTGGCCTGTATTGATTACAGGTAATCTTCTCGTCCTGCCTTGTCATGTAGTCTTAGTGCATTTATCAAGCCAACTAAGTTGTGAAGACATGGACGAAATTTAGTCAATTTGTAATGCAGTTATTACTGGTTCACAAAATGTGTTTAAAGGCGTGAGGGGCGTTTCAAGTCTTACACAGCAGTGGAGTGCTCTGCAGGAATTTTCCACAAGGCTCTGTCAGCGACATGGTGTCAGATGTTTCCAGGGGAATCGGTCACTTATGTCAGAACATTGGAGATCCAAACATTGGTGGTGATCCAAACAAGTACGGGTTTTTTCCATCTTTGAATTCATGTTCTAAATGAGGGATTTGAATGCCTTGAAGTCGATCGGATGTGGTGGGGAATATTTTGCTAGTGCTCTTTGTCTCATAAAGTTTAATAAGGTTGTCTATAAAGAACTTGGAGGAACTTACAGTTTCCTCGGATGGTTGAGCAGAATATATTTAGTGGGTCAATCAGCTGGTGCACACTTGGGGGCATGTGCTCTGCTATTGCAAGCGGAGAAGCAAATAACGGATGGAACTGCTGGACTTACTTGGATTTCGTCTCAAATAAAAGCCTATGTAGCCCTTTCAGGCGGGTTAGTCAACTCAAACTAGGACTTTCTATATATATATATATATATATATATATATATATATGTTCTGGTTTTGGTGATTGTAGACCTGTTATTGAATTTGTACATGACTGTCAAACTTTCGTAAATATACTCGCTTTCGGTTCATGAACCTGTTACCAAGCCCATGAAGCTACTACCTTAAGATGATGTTTACATGCAAAGGCTTCTTGCAGTGTGTTTTCCGATGAGTTTTTCCTGTATTTTGACTGTGGTTAGCATGCTGGTTCACTAAAATAGTAATAGTGTCTTCTGGAGCAGGTACAACCTGAGGAATCTTATGGAACATTTTGACAGACGCGGTTTGTACAAATCATTGTTTTTAAGGTAATGTGATCTTACCTTCGAAGGTCTTGCTTTTCCTGGTAAAAACCATTCCCATGACATTTTGTTGCTTATTTTTCTGTCCGTTCAGTTTACTGTGAAAGCGTGCAGTTGAGTGGGATAAAATAGTTGGAAAAAACTTAACCGGATAATTACATTTATTCTGAAATTGCAGAATCATGAAGGATGAGGAGGGATTGACTCGGTTTTCTCCAGAATGTATTGTCAGAAGTCCGTCCTTTAGGGATGCGGTGGCTCTGCTCCCTCCAATTACTCTGGTTCATGGCACAGCCGATTATTCGATACCTTATGAGGCCAGGTGTTTAATTCGCTCGCTAATATACTTCATTATGTAAAGTGTGGTCAAGTAAGAAGCTACATCTTGTCTATTGTCGTTAACGTTGTTCATTTTAAACCTGCTAGCTGAGTTGACCACAACCTTTCATATGGAACAAATGCTGGGGATGACGTTGTTAAGTTTACATCGCATAACAAGCTTTGATGTGACGAAATCAAACATGCCGTCAAGGAGTACGACTGAGTTATTTTCGAATTCACAATCTTTCCTTTTTCCAGTATCAAGTTATTGGAAATGGGAGCCAGTGCATCATTGTAATTGTATCATAGCAATTTTCTATTTTCTTATTCCTGCTTGTGGCTATTTCAAACACGTATGTTTTCATGTTTCTTTGTTCTAAGAGATTCTTTATGTGCAGTGTTGAGTTTGGTGAAACCTTGAAGTCAGTAGGGGCAACAGTTTCTACTCTGTTGTACCCAGGGAAAACACATACAGATTTATTCCTGCAGGTATGCAGATAGTTATCAATCTTAGTTGCGTGGGACTTGTAGGGCGCACTTTTGGGCATGCATGGAGGATGTTGTGTGTCAAATGTCTTCCTAGTTCTTATTTCTTTGCGAGTATATCTGCACTTGTGATCGTCATTTGTTTTCACTATTTTCTTTTTTCTTTTATTATCTATTTTTTTCTTTTTAACATATTCAGTTGTTTCGAGGGTTCGAAAAGTCAAGATGACAGTAAAATCAGTTGTGATTACAATTGAAGGTCCTCCACAGAAACATACCTGGTCTTAGTAATGCATGTGACTGTCTTCGAGTGTAGGATCCCATGCGAGGAGGGAAGATCGACATGCTAACAGATATTTTGGCAGTAATTCACGCTGACGATGAGGAAGAGCAAGCTTTAGATGCAGCCATGACGCGTCCTCGGATGGTGCCCGAATGTCTACTGCAGTTCGCACGCTGGGTTAGCCCCTTCTGAAGGTGGACGAGAATTTGTTTTCAAGTTATGATGCTTTACATGAACATGACACTCAAATGATTCTCAAGTGGCTCAACAGAGTGCAGGACAGTCTTGATTATTGTCTCCATCAGTTGAGGTAGTTGATTCACCATTCGATGACCAATTTCTTGGCTGGTGGTTGTAAAATAATTACTTTCATCTCGCTTTTGGAAAGCAAGATTTAATGTTAGACATGTGGACAATCGTGAGGACACATTGTTAAATATTGGTTTCACGACCACGTGAACAGTATACTAGTGGAAACTTGTGCCGTTGGTCACGAAAAATATTTACTGAACAACACATCCTCGCTCTTACCAATAGGATCAACAATCGCTTTCAAACCAATCCTCAATGCACAAAAACTAAGAAGACTAACTTCCAGTGTTGCGGCACAGAACCTCTACTAAAAACCATTCACGTGACAACGTATACCACCGTGTCTATCCTAAGGAAAAGTTGAGTTGCGTAAAAAATTTGTGAGCAACAACACGGATTCTATTATGGCCCTGTGAATTCCAGTTTTGTGAATTCCAGGTTTGTGAATTCACATTTGATGTTTTTGATGAAAAAAATGAGGGTTACAACAAATTAAAGAGGGTTCTTGTCTCCTCTTGCTTATTCCATGTATTTTCCCCCTCTATGTATTCCATGTGTTTGTAAAGCTATTATATACAAGTGATTTGGTTCAATTCTAAATGATATTAGGGTTCATTTTTCATGTGAATGCTTGTAGTACTAAGAAATTTCTCAAGGACTTGTGGTTCATTGCTTCATTTATCCTATCAAATTGTACAAATCATGAATATAGAAAGCCTCTTAATGACCTCAAAAATCATTATTTATCTTCCTCCATGAGTGTCTCTAAAGAAATAGTATATCAACAGAATCCAAAGTACATGAGAAATTATGCCTTATTTTGATGTAGTTTTATAAATAATTTTAGCAAGATTACTTTTTTTAAGTACTTATTCTAACTCTATCTACAATCATGATTTTGAAAGTGAAGATTCATAATGTCAAGTTTGAACAAGTTGAAATAGATTCACATGCATATGTATTTTTAATTTAGACTTTATAGGAATAATTCTATGATACAACAAATATTTAGATATTTTTAATGACTTCAATATATCTCATAGAATAGATAAGATATTACAACTCTTTATAGACATTGCTAAGGCAATCGACATGTTCTGGACTTTGTTATAGCAAACTTTATATAATACAAAAATTATTGAATATCATGCAAATATAATTTTCTTAGCAAAGAAAATTAAATTTGTACATGTAAAAGTTATAGTTGCTCATTTGTTGTCTTTTAAAAATCTAATCTATAAAACCATTCCTTTAGATGTAGCAACTAATAGTCGTAATAGCATAGTAATATTTTATATTATAAGAATTCTTTCCAACTTATTCATTTTAGGTTTATTGTAGCTAGAGAAATATAATTCTTGAATAGACTCAATTTCTTGCAATCTTGATCTTCTCTATAGCAAAAACTTAACTCCTATTATTCAAGTAGAAAGTCACAAGTCTAATACATCCAAATCCTTATTTGTAAGTACAAGAATTTTTATGCATGCAACAAAAAAATATTAATATTTTATTATTTATGTCACACCTATTTTTAATGGTGGAGAGACTTGAAGCAATATTTTGAGCAAGTATAAGGATTATCAAGATATTTATAAAAAAAATAAAAATATTCTTTGAGAGCATGTTTTTTTATAATAGCTTAATTGATTTTTAAAAACAAATCCAATCATCATTTGAAGCAATCTATAGCTTATTGCAAAATAAGTTGATTGCACCAAAGGAATATATTCATAAAAAGTTTTATAAAAACTTTATATGTCATTTAAAATTCCTAGTAGAAGACTCTATTTTATTTGTAAAAAAAAAGATGGAGCACTATAGATGAATGTCAAATATTAATGACTTAATAAGATCATTATTAAAAAGATGCATCTTTTATCTTTAACATCATGACTTTTTGATTAATTAAATCAAATAAAGATCTATATAAAAACAGATCTATATAAAATATACAATCACATACTCATTAAATAAAGAGACGAATAAAAAAATTATATTTTGGATTAATTATGGATATTTTGAATTTAATATCATATTTTCTTAAACTCACAAATGCATAAATTATTTTTTAACATCTAATGAATGATGTTTTTGAGAATTCTTAAACAAGTTTGTAATTTTTTATTTAGACAATATTTTAATATATTTTTACAATACAAAAGAATATGAATGTTAAGTTTATTGTATATTACATAAACTTAGAAATATAAGATTATATCTCAAAATAAAAAAGTTTGTATGTCATACAACTTAAGTTGACTTCTTAAGATATATCATTTCAAATAATGGCCTTATGATAGATCTTCAAAAAATTTAGACTATCATGGATTGAAGTTTCTAAGAAAAATAAAATTTGTCTAATATTTTTTAAGATTTACCAATTACTATCAGATCTTTATTAAGAACTTTTTTTAAGTTGTAGATTTGTTTAGACGTTTGACTTGTAATAATAAACTTAAGTAGAATAAAGAAGTTTAAATAATATTTAAAGCTTTAAAGATGATTTTTATTTTTATACCAATATTATTTTATATCAAATTTTTTAAATAATTTAATATAAAAATTAGTGTATATTATTACAAATAGGAAAAAATGACAAACTTCACCTAATAGCTTTTTATTTAAGATACTTTTAGTAGCCAAGATCAATTCAAGATCTACAACAAAGAACTTCTTGTAATTATGGATTCATTTTAAGAATGGTATTATTATCTAGAAAATGCTTCAAGTTCAATTATTGTATATACAAATCAAAAGAACCTCAAGTATTTCATACCAACACATATTTTAAATCATTGCTAAGCTTGTTGAAACATGTTTATGTCAAGATTTGAATTTAAGATCATTTCTTGAAAAAAAAAAAAAAAAGAAGTTTGTTAGATGTTCTTTCTAGATATTTTTATCTTTCACCAAAAACAGATGCAAATTTTGATCTACAACAAAAAATTCTTTTGAAGACAAATCGATTTGATTTTTAAATAATAAAATCAATATTGACTCTTGATTCAATATTTCTTAAGCAAGTTCAATCAAATATATTTTATATTTTTCTTATTCATGATATTAAGAATTATCTATCTAAATCTTATGATACTTCTAAGATTAATTTAAGAATAATCTACTATATTTTCAAAGACACTTATATGTTCCAAAAGACAAAATACAACTACATGCTCTTTAAGCTTGTCACAACTTTCTAGTTGCAAGACATTTTAGATATAATAAGACCTTAGAATTAATCTCAAGATTTTTTGGTGGCCTCAAATATAATAAAAAGTTAAAAACTTTTTATTATCTTATGATATTTGTTTAAAATCAAAAATTTCTTATTACCAATTTTATAAGTTTTTTTAGCCATTATTTATATCAAAAAAACATAGTCTTTTATTTATATAGATTTTATTATAAATATTTTAAATCTATTATATTTATAAAATATATTTTTTATTAAGATAGTACATTTTATATTATATACAAAGTTTATCAAAAGTAAAGAAATAACTAAAATTTACTTTAATAATAATTATTGCTATGATGAATTATTCAAGAATATTATATTGGTTAAATGAACTCAATTTGTATCAAAGTTCTAAAGAACTTTTTTTAAGATTTTAAAAGTAGATATAAAACTATCTTTTTTATTCTTAAATTGATTGGCAAACAAAAAAAGTGAATTAGGTTTTGAAATAGTATTTGAGATGTACCATTAATTATCTTTAAATTTATTGGATAACTTTTTTGACAATGGTAGAGTTTGCTTTTAATAATATAATTTATTTTTCTATTTAATAAACACTCTTTTTTACTAATTATGGTTATCATTGTAAATATAATATTTTTGACTCCTCAAAACTTGATAATTCTATATCAAAAAATTGAAGTACATCATTTATCATAACTGCAAGCAAAAATAAAGGCATAATTAAAAGGAGCTCAAAATTGATAAAAGATCAATTCAAATGACTATTGCAAGAAAAAATCTCAATTTTACATTGACACTAAGATATGGTTACTTTGTTGTAATATTAAGATTAGTCATTCTTGTGATAATTTGAACTATTATAGATTTAAACTATTTTTTTATTTGTGAATAAATCAATCTAGTTACATACCAATTAAAGCTACCAAAATCAATGAAGATCCATCCTATGTTCTATGTATTTTTTTAAGCCATAAAAGAGAATGGATTTACCGAGAAGAAGAAAAATGCCACATTCTCATATAGAAGTGAAGAATAATCAAGAATTTTAGATCAAAGAAGTATTATACTTAAGGCTATGTCAAAATATGTTAAAATATCTTGTGCATTTCTACAAATATGATATTAGTTAATGTAACATGAAAGCCAACTAAGAATCCTGCAAATGAAGCAAATAAGGTTTATGATTTTTTGTCACAAACATACATATTTATTATAATATTTATTTTTATGATTAAGTAGAAGTAAATAAAAGTAGATTTATTTCATAATATTTTTTAGAAAAGCTTCTTAAAAGCTTTATAGATATTTTTTTGATTTTACATGTATTTATAGTTGATTGATAAGATAGAAACTTGGTCAATAAATTAATCATGTGTTAGTAGCTTGTAAAACAAGCTAACTATGTAGTGTACATATAAAAAACTTACTTTGCAAGTTAAGATATGTGTCTTGCAAAGTTAATACGGTTTAGAGGTCCTATAGGATATTACCACATAGCTCTTAGTTAAGAATATATATGGAAGTAAGAGTAAAGCCTTCTTCACTCTTATCAATGCCTCTGTAGTCCCTAGTCTTATTTCAAGACTTTCTACTCTTCTTGTTTTTAGCAATAGCCATTCTAATTTAATACTATATCATTTTTGAGTGATTTTTTACTCTTTTTAAGTATCACAAGGGTGTATTAAAATTTTAGTTCTTTGAAGATTATTTCCTTGAAAATTTGATAAGAATGCTAACTTATTATTCTTCTCTTGTTTTAGAAGTGAGTGGATTATCTTACTTCTAATATTGTATTTTGAAGGTTACGAATTATCTGCCTTTAAACAAACTATTCAATTTTCTAATACCAATTTTTTTCCTTAAAGAGAGTAGATTATCTCTCTTTGTAGAAATTTTCATTTGATATTAGAGATTACATATCATTCTCTTCTAATTTAACTTTTAGATTTATTAAGTTTTTTAAAATAGAAGAAAAAATTATAGATGCAATACTTAGT